GTACTTCTTAGGGTAGTCACTAGCCACATGTGGCTACTGAAATGTAAACTAATTAATATTGAATAAAACGAAAGTTGGGTTTTTATCTGCACTACAATCCCATACCAAGTGTTCAGTGGCTCCGTGTGGCTGCCATGTTGGACGGTGTGGGTGTACAGCATGGCCATCACAGCCGTGCTCTTGCACGGACTGGTGCAGCGTGCAGAACTCGACTGTTAGAAGCCTCTTACACAGAGCTTGAAAGCCCCAACCTCGTATTTCCTAGCCAAGCCATCCGCCACACGCCGCCCCTTTTCAGGGTGTGGATAGGCTGCACAATGAGGCACTCATAGGTTTGCAGTAAGAGTAGCTCTATGGGAGCATTTTCTAGAAAAAAAAAATCCTTGAAGTTTCCAATAGTAGCTCATAAATTGAATAAAGGTAGCAAGCAATTAGATAATTATAATAATAGCAGCTATTTTTGCTACATACCTGTTGTATTCCAGAGTTTTGTTCTAAATGCTTTATAGTATTAATTCTTTTTTTTTTTCGAGAGGTTTTTGCTATAGGACGCGTGCGCTCGCCAGACAGACAGAGAGAGACAGAGAGACAGAAAGCGAGAAATCACCCCCCAGAGGGGATGGTCACGCCGCAATCCCTTCTACTCCAGTCTCCTCTCGGGATCTTGGGCACGCACGCACACGCGCCCAGCGTGAGTTTTAAGCCACCGGGTCCGGAACGCGAACTGCAGTTGACTACGTGGGAGTCCAGCGACATAGCCATTACACTAACTGCTGGTTCCCAGTATTAATTCTTAATTCTCATAATTAACCCCATGAGGTATGGTACTATATTATTTCAGTTTTCTAGTTGATGAAATGGAGGCACAGAGAGTTTAAATAACTTGGCCCCAGGTCACACAGCTAAGTGGTTGAACTAGCATTTGAACCCAGGCAGTGTAATTCCAACTGCCTCTGATCTCTCTGCAGATGGCACTGAAGTATCCAGAATGCTCCTTCAGTACAGAGAACAGCATTCTGGCCAGGAAACTTTAGAAGACACGCTAAGGAAATATTCAAGCAGGTTCATGTTCTTCCTGACATTCCAGATACAAAGTTTTCTGTAGCCTGAATGGAGTGAAAAATAAAACAAAAGGCAGTTAGAGCACTTTCGACAGTTTGAGGAAGACAACTAATCCCCTAGGCCATGGTTGGAAAACTGTAGCCATGGCCCAAATCTGACCTGCTACCTCTCTGTTTTTGTAAACAGTTTTGGGACCAACAGATGGCGTAATGGTTTTATTGCTGACCACTCTTCAAGTCCCGGATGCAGTGGCTTGAAACTCACGCTGGGCATGTATGTTTGCATGCCCAAAATCCCAAGAAGAGAATGGAGGAGAAGGGACTGCAGTGTGGAAACCTCCCCTGGGGAGTGATTTCTCGCTGTCTCTCCGGCAAGTGCACATGCCCTATAGCAAAAATCTCTCAAAAAAGAAAAAAAAAAAGGTGAATGAATATAGCCATACTCATTTCAGCTGCCTACATCTCACAGCCTTGACTGTGCCCGCTACACAGGTAATTTACATGGGCACTTAATGTGCTGGGGGCCTGTCTACTCTCACTTTCTGTGTCTGAGCTGCATTGTCAGATTATTATTATATACATGAAAAATTCACTTTAATGGTTCTCTTACTTAAAGATCATGGTGGAGTGAACTAAAATAGGAAGCACATATTACAATTCAATATTTGTCATACTCTGTCCCATTATGGAGTTAGAATAACATTTCTCTAAAATCTGTTTTCTAGACACTTTTTTCCTGATTATAAAAGTTATATATACAGGAAATATAGAAGGACCTAGCCGCAAGAATAAGGGCCCTTCCACCAGACCCCACCACACAGAGGTAGCCATTGCTGGTATTTGAGTGTAATAACTTTTTGTTTGCTTGTTTTAAGAGAGATTTTTGCTATAGGGCACGTGTACTCACGGAGAGACAGAGAGAGAGGGACGGAAAAGCAATAGCTCAACTCCCCCAACCCCATGGGGATGGGCATACTGCAATCCCTTCTCCTCCATTCTCCTCTTGGGGTTTTGGGCACGCGTGCGCTCATGCCTAGCCATAGTTTAAAGCCGCTGGGTCTGGGTCTCAAACTATGGTTGGCCATGAGGCAGTCCAGTGATGTAACCATTCTACCATCTCCTAGTCCCAATAAATAATTATGGAAAAGGTTTTGCAACATACACAAATTTTTCTTTTAACTTAGCCTTTCTCTATGTCATTTAAATTTTTTTAGTAAGAAACATTTTTTTCTTTGGTATATAATAGTCTATCATATGAATACATTATAACTCACTGAGCTTACAAGGTGTGTGGGTTCTTTCCAGCCATTTCCTATTTCTTTAAGCTTGTTTATTCATGGTAGAGGGCCTGTGCATGTGTATGTGTAAGAGAGAGAGACACAGAGACAGAAGCACTTTGATGAGGTTTTATCACACCACAATCCCATTTCTCAGCCTCTAGCTCATCAGGACCTTGAGCACCGTGAGCACACACCCAGCATGTTTTCAGATCAACTTGGGGATTTGAGCTCATGGTCAGCCATGTGGCTCCGGTAATGCAGTTTAGCTTGTACCAACTGAATCCCCAGGCTGGGCTGCCACTGTTTGCTATTACAATTAAAAGCATAATAACCATCTTTGTGCATGAATTGCTGTCTGTTTGCTGGGTGTTTCCTTAGGATCAGATTCTCAGAAGTACAATTACTGAATTAAAAGCAGTTTACTTTTCTGTTGTTATAGGGCACATGCACTCATCAGAGAGAGACAAAGAGAGAGGGGGAAGGTGAGAAATCACACACACACACACACACACACACACACACACACACACAGGAAGATGGCTATGCCACACTCCCCTCCTTTCGAATTACTGAATTAAAAGCAGTTTACTTTTCTGTTGTTATAGGGCACATGCACTCATCAGAGAGAGACAAAGAGAGAGGGGGAAGGTGAGAAATCACACACACACACACACACACACACACACACACACACACACAGGAAGATGGCTATGCCACAATCCCTTCTCTTCCAGTCTCCTCTTGGGATTTCAGGCATACACATACAAGCACCCAGTGTTATTTTTCAAGTCACCTGGGTCCAGGACTTGAACCATGCAGCCTGTTATGTGGGAGTCCAGTGCCTTAACCTTTACACCACCTGCTGGCCAGGCAGTTTACATATTTAAAGATTCTGAGATATGCCAAAGGTAAATACATAAATAAAGTTTTAACTTCCTTCCTGACCCCAAACAAGACTGCACTAGTTCATGTAATCCTATAACACACTGGTTAACATGTGTGCTTATTGCATAGACTTAATATTAAAACAGAGTGAAGTGAAATCTGCAGGCAAACAGGAAGACTTTAGAATTATCTACTTGGTGGTTTGATTGTTAGGAATTTGACAATTTTCTTAAGAAGAACAAGGTTTGAATGAGCAAATGTTTCTAGGTTCCTTCTGATAGTCCCGCCAAGATTTTAAACTTAAGTGAGTATAAGAATGACATTGTAGGGATGGACACTCCAGGCCCTTGATACTTATTGTCTTCTCCCCAGGAGATCCTCTGCCCAGAGAACCACTTGGTTCATTGTCTTTACTTAGGTCTCCCACAGATGTCCTGATATCAGGGAGGTCGCTCTGGCTGCCAAAGCACTTGCTGTTCCTCACTTGCTGTATTCCCTGCTCTATTCACACTTATTGCCACCTGAGATTTTTTTAAAACTTTATTTATTTCCTCCATGAATGAGAGAGGCAAAGAGACAGACACCCCCAACAGGGTCCTGACACCATGATTCTCTGCAGGCCTAGCCAGCCCTGGTCGGGGGCCACCACACCCAGGAAGGTCTCCAGACACAAACCTGGAACCTTTCCATGGGGGCCAGTCTTGCAGAGTGCCATGTTTTACCTCCGTGCCACTGTCCTACCGCTGCTGCCTGAGATTTTAAGTATTCACATTTACTGTCTTTCCTGACTAGAGGGTCATTTGTCCGGTCCATGGCCTGACCTTGCTAATGATATTCTGTGTCAGTAACTCTTACCCTCAGGGTCATATGCACGTGGGTTCCAGGTCCTGCTCAGTGATTTGTCACAATGTGACATTATCTGCATTCCCCATTTATTGGTTGGAGTATATAGCCTCTGGGCACTGGGAGAGGCTTCAGAAGGAACCTGTGACACTGAGGCAGCGCAGGTCTCGTGGAAGGGTTTTGGTGAGACTGGCCTCTATTTGCCACATGGATTGTATGTAAGAGTCAGAGCTAAAGCACAAGCTGGTAGAGCCTCCTTCTGGGCTGCCAGGTCCCTGTGTCAGAGAGTAGCTGCCAAGGTTCCTGCAAAGCCAGAGGACCAGGTGGGGACCCAGAGTTGGCTGTGCCATCTCAGAGGCTAAAGTAGTTAATAAGCTACAGATAGGTGCAGTTTGAGGTGGGCAAAGGGAAGAATTAGCCTAAGGGGCTAGATGTGAGTGCCATGTGTCCTCCCCATGGCCTGAAGAAGATAGTTACAGAGTCTTAGTGATCATGTTTTGGGGAGAGGTATCACTTTGTCAGCCTCAACACTGTCCATCATTAAGAACTGCTATGATTGGACCAGACGATGGCATAATAGTTACGTCGCTAGACTCCCATGTAGTCAACCACGATTCAAGTCCCAGACCGGGCAACTTAAAACACATCAGGCGCTTGTGCGTGTGTTCCCAAAATCCCGAAAGTGGAGGAGAATAGATTGTGGCATGATCATCCCCCTGGTGGGGAGTGATTTCTTGCTTTCTGTCTCTCTGTCTCTGTCTCTCTGGCAAGTGCATGTGCCCTATAAAAAATCTCTCAAAAGAAAAAAAAAGAACTGCTATGGTGGACTTTGCCTTCAGGATAGCCATCTTTGCCATGACGACCTGCCATCTCGTCCTCGTGTGCTGCGATGTCGTGGACAGACGTGACAGTTTTTTCCTTCTCCATCCAGGTCTCGCACGTACCGCTCCAAGGGCTTTGATGTCACCGTGAAGTATACCCAAGGGAGCTGGACAGGTTTTGTCGGGGAGGACATCGTCACCATCCCGAAAGGCTTCAATAATTCTTTTCTTGTCAACATTGCCACTATTTTTGAGTCAGAGAACTTCTTTTTGCCTGGGATTAAATGGAACGGGATACTTGGACTAGCCTATGCCACCCTGGCCAAGGTAAGGCTAGCCCATAGGTGGAATGAACCCAGTAAGGGGTGAGATTGTGAAAACCAGTCATTAAATACGGAGCCAGCAAGGGGTCCCAGGATGTCCCTGGAAACTGTCAGTGAGACTCACATGGTTGAAGCAGACGAGGGTCACACAATTATTTCTAAGCATTTTAAAAAGATAAGGTAAATGGCGTGATTCTTTGAATCTCCCTATGTTGTACTAATAGCATTAACGTTTGTTTTCTTTTTTTACTTTATTTTTACAATTCTTTTTCCCCTGCATGAATACATTGTATATTAATCCAGTCAAAGAGTCCTACACTGTTGGTGGGAATGTAAATTAGTATAGCCACTGTGGAGAACAATATGGAGGTTCCTCAAAAACCTGCAAATACAACTACCATATGACCCAGCAATCCCACTCCTGGGTATCTACCCAAAGGATAGGAGAATGCTCAGTCAGAAAAACACATCCATGCTTATGGCAGCATTAGTCACAATTACTAATACATAGAATCAACCCAGATGTCCAAAAGCAGATGAATAGATTGAAAAGATGTGGCACATACAGCCTTAGGAGGTTTTGTTCGTCTTTGTTTTAGCCTGTAGTTTAACAATGCTAACAAAATCTGAATCACATTGGTAACAGTGTTTGTTTAGGAGTTTCTTCTTCCAGAGGGTGGAAAGAAAGCACACGTTTATTAAATTTGTATCTTTGCATGGGACCAGAAAATGTAACCTGAAGGCATTGCCTGGGGATTGTCAGGCCAGGGAGAAACAGTGGGACCCTCACTGTCATCACAGAATGGGGAAGGACAGGCTTGGATGTTTGCGGGCATTTGTACTGGAGCCAGCTCAAAGGAAATAACTCTGGTGTGGAGGACGGAGGCAGGCAGGCGAGCTTCCACCAAGAATGCTTGCCAGAGGCAGGTGAGATTAGACACCAGGGGAGCAGAAGGAGCTCCCCTGTTGGCCCCGGAACCCGCACCATACCCTGGCTCTCACCAGTCAGCCAAGGCATAGAGCCAGAGCCAAGTGCAAAGATAAAGGAAATGCCATTGAGCCCATGATGGTATAAGGAAGGTCTGTGGTCCATTCTGTGGTCGCATCCTTTGGAATCATTTGTTCAAGCTCAAGTTTACCAGCAAATACGGAGTGAGAGAACAGGTAGAGAGAACCCTTGTCTTCCCAAGGAGAAAGAATAAGGATTATCAAGAGACTATCAGAAGATATCAGTTTCTCAGTGCTCACATCGTCTCATAAGCAGACTTTGTGAGGACACATTCTACCCATTTCAGAAATGCAAGGATTGAGGACCAGCAGATGGCATAATGGTTATGTCGCGGGACTCCCACATGGCTGACTGTGGTTTGATTCCTGGGTGCAGAGGCTTGAAATTCATGCCAGGCCCCTGTGCATGTGTGCTCCAAATCCCCAAGATGAGAATGGAAGAGAAGGCATTGCAGCGCGACGCTCCCCCTGGGGGGAGGGGTGATTTCTCACTTTCTATGTCTCTGTCTCTCTGGTGAGTGAACACACCCTGTAGCAAAAATCTTTCTCATAAAAAGAAAAAAGAGAGAGAAAAAGAAATAAGTAAACACAGGAACTGAAGGTCAGTCAGGAAGGCTGGCTCTCTTGAAGTGGAAACACAGACCCCTGGGCCCGTATCAGTCTTCTACAGAGCCAGCACGGGCTCAGGAGTGCCTTTGTCCTCAGTGTCATGGGATGAGATCGCTACGAGAGTCACAGACTGGTAACAACTCCACTTCTAAATATAATACATTTTTCACTGATAGCACGACCTTGGGCAAAACATTTCATTTCCATGTGACTGGTATGTTTGATTTTATGCTAACTATTCAGAAGAGAGTAGGGTGAACTTATATAAGATAGCCTTAATAAAACATAATACTTCTCTGAGAACAGACTGCTTCAGGGGCTTTTTGGGGTTTCTACACCCTCCACATGGCCCTTTATGTTTTTTATTTTTAGGGTTTTTTTCCCCCCTGTAGAGCATGTATGCTCACTAGAGGGAGACAGAGAGAGGGGAAGTAAGAAACCACTACTCACTTCCTCCCCACAAGGAATGGCCATGCCACAATCCCTTCTCCTTTATTCTCCTCTTGGGAACATTGGACATGCTGTCACATGTGCCCGGCATGTTTTCAAAACAGTGGTCAGCAATATGGGAATCTAGTGCCTTAACCACCATACCACCTGCTGGCCCTGACCCTTTATCTTTTTGTGTGTGTTGATAAAGCCAACTTGGCTTTATCACATTGCCCAGGTTTAAGGAGACGGTCACAAGGTATGTGAGATTCATTGCAAGTGGAGGTGGCTGAAAACAGGACTGGCAGGGTGGCCTGGGCTGATCTGAGGCATCTCTGCTGCAGGTTGGCCTGGAACTCAGTAGTGCTCCTACTGTGTGGCCCAGGGGCTGGCTAACAAGGCCATGCATCAGAACCACCAGCAGGGCTTCTTACACCCAGGCCTTGGGCCCACTGTACACCTACTGATCAGGTTCTCTTGGAGACAGTCCTAGACAACCCTCGAGGGACCCTGAGACACAGTCCTAGTGAAGAATGACTTGACAGAATACAGGTGCTTTTCCATAACAGGCCCTGTGACAAGTGCTTTATATGTATTGACCCATTTAAGCCCCAGAACAGCTCTGGGAGGCCAACAGTGTCCCATTTTACAGAAAAGGAAACAAAGGAACTAGTCACAGGGTGAGCAAGTGATGGGGCCAGGCTCCAATTCCAGGTAGTGTTTACTTTTCTCTGTGGCCTCTCAAGAGTGTGGACAAAAGAGGAACACCAGATGGGGCACCACGATACCTAGCCCATTCCAAGAGGCGCCTTTGTTGCACTTGCTGACCCAAATACAAAGCGCACCAACACCTTTGCAGGAGGGCTTGAGCTGAGTTCTGCTGTGCATTTCCGCAGAAGCTGAGGTGGAACAAACAGGACACCAAACACAACGGGCTAGACACAAGAAGATGTGTATCTGCTCAGGCATGGGGCTCTTCTAGATCTCACAGAGAGTGAGCACACTCCTTAGGAATGAGTGCCGAGAGGCAGGGGACGCTGTAGCAGCTCTGCCACTGTAGTTGATGGTTAGGTTTTTATCGGAAATTACCTTCCGGTAACTAACTCTAGTATCTCTCAGTTGTCTGAGCCAGATCAAACGCTGACTTTTTCCACAATCCCCAGAACCCCTCTTCCTTTGAGTTCTTCTGGAGGAGCAGGGTATCCTCTGAAAGTATCGCTGCATACAAGACAGTACCAAACAAATTAGACCTAATAAAATTGGCAGTGAGGAAATAGCCTTCGAACTTTAGGAGGACATTGGTTTCTTACTGCTGTTTTCCTGCACCAGCATTCAGTGGGCAGAGCCAGGCTTCACCCAGGGTCTGGGTTCTCAGTCAACTGTCCTTGTGGGTCCATCACTTCTCACTTGCATGAAGGATGGCCATAGTTGAGAGAGATCAATAAAAATCTGGCATCGAAGGCAGCTCCTAGAGACATTGCTCTCTCCACAACCTGAAAGGCCTAAGATGAGAGTGCACCACCCCCTCAGCCACCCACTAACACGTTTCTTCACGCCCGCCTCACAAGACAGTCAGGATGAGAAGTGTGATGGTGTCTTAATAGCTTCTGGAAATACTGCCTTATTTTTACAACAGAGCTGCACCAGAGGGAAAAGTACCAAATGGAAGGAATTTCTGTTGGAGATTTCTGAATGTCAACTAATCACAAACTTGTTTATTGGTAAACATGGAAAAATTCAATATAAATATCACAAATAGGGCCAACCCCATGTCCAGCCCCATGTGGTTAAAGGAGACACATCCCACAGGGTGAACTACGGTTTGAGTCCTGGCCCTGGTGGCTTGAAAACCAGGCAGGGCACATGTATGTGTTTGCCCAGAATTCCAACAGGATAGACGGAGAAGGGATTGCAACATGCCTGCCCCAATAAGGGGTGCTTCTCCCTCAGTGCCTTGCACTGTCTCTCTCTAACAAGTACATACATCCTCTGGAAATTAGAAAAAAGACAAAGAATATTGTCTGTGTGCATGGTGTCTTTGTAGGTCACCTCTGTGTATACTGAGTCATGAAGCAGCATCCTTCTTTTGTCACCCTCCTGCAGCCATCAAGTTCTCTGGAGACTTTCTTTGATTCTCTCGTGACACAAGCGAAGATCCCCAACGTCTTCTCCATGCAGATGTGTGGGGCGGGATTACCTGTCGCTGGATCTGGTACCAACGGAGGTAGTCTTGTGGGTATCTTTTAGTTTTAAAGGGGCAAAAATATCACAATTGGATGGGACTTTTTTTTCTGTTTTGTTAAAAACCTGATCAGAAATATTAAACCATGTGACATGTTGAGGTGCTGTAAAATTGGATAATCCTTGTTATAGATGCTTTTAAAAATGAATTGAATTCAGTATTACTTTTGTGTTTCCTAGTTATCCTGCCATCTAGAAAGATGCTTCTCATTGCTTCTCCAAATTCTATGAATGCTTTTCTTTATTGCCTTTGGAAGGGAACTGTTTTCGGTTGGTCGTGGAGAGCAGATGAGGAACAGTGGGGAGGGGTAGGTGAGGAACAGGGTCTTACTCTGGGTAGAGAGCATGTGATTGCATCTGTGATCGCAGAGATTCGGTGAGGAGAGAGGGATGCCTGCACATCCCTTCTGTCTTCTCGGCACACACACTTGTGCACACACCCACACCACACAGCTAAGGTGCTTTCTGTTGGGACAGAGCCAAAGCCATCATCACTCTGCGTGTGCTGTGGCCTGAGCTTCCCTCCATGGACTCTGTACTTGGACATCCACAGTCAGAAGTGGCAGGGAGAATGCACAGGTGGGGCTCCTCTGGGTGGAGGTCATAGGTACTGCCACCCCCTTTACTCTCCAACTCTAGAGGCAGACTCAGCACCCTGTCCCCCAGCTGCTGTCACTTGCTAACAGTATACCTTCTCTTAACACTTTCTGTTGCCTTGTGTGGGAAGAGGGCAACCTAGAATTCCTGGGGTTATGTTTTACAAAAGGAGGTTTTGATGAGGGAAGCTTTATTGTTCATCTTTCCTCTTTTCTGACATTTGAGGAAATATATTATTGTCAGTCAGCATAGTTAAGTATTTTATTGCAATTCTTGAGGGTAGTCTCAATATTGTGAAGCTGGGATTGCATATACTATTTTTCCATAAAGGAAGCCACCACAGCACCCTGATTAGACTAGGGCATGATATCATGTGACCTTTGGACACATGATCCCAAAACATTCCCTATTTCATTTGCAGGCATTTGTATTTGTTTATAACATTGCAATAAAGTGAGAATACCCCTCCCAGAGGAGTTTCACATTCTGAGTACCTGCTTACATGCTCCTTTGTGTAACTGTTGCTGTGACTGTGTGTTTTTTCTCTTATACTTGGATATATTTTCTAACTAGGTCCTGGGTGGAATTGAATCAAGTTTGTATAAAGGAGATATCTGGTATACCCCTATTAAGGAGGAGTGGTATTATCAGATAGAAATTCTGAAGTTGGAAATTGGAGGTCAAAGCCTTAACCTGGACTGCAGAGAGGTATTTCCACTGTGATCTCTGTGTCTCTGTGTATCTGTGTGTGCCTGCTCGTGGGAATATGACAGCTGAAACCCATATGTGAAACCAGGCGATGTGTTACATTATAGGGTAAATCATAAGTTCACTACATGGAAGGATATAGAGCCTTTGATGTAAGTTTATATCTCCTCCCTACCCCCCAGAAAAAGTAAGTGCTTCCTTGGCTTAGCATAAAATGGTGAGTGGAGAAGGCCGTCTAACATAGGCCCTATACCGTTGATCGTGGCCCACTGGTCCCTGAACTCTTTTGGAGAAGATAAAATAAGCAGACTTTTATCAATGTAGGGGGACACAGGGGACTAAAAGCAAGTAAGACAAAACTAAAAAAAAATAAAAATCAGCTTTATTCTCATCCACAGCTAACCTGCCCTGCCCCTCCTCTCCCAAGTATAGTTCTTACTAGAGGAAACGTTACATCCAAAAGATGTGCATAGCCTGGTACTGCTGAAGGAGCAGGTGTGCTGAGCTGTGATACTGAACCTCAGCTGTGCTTACACCCTCTCACTGACTGGCTCATCTGTGGCATGCTAGGACATTATGATTATGATGTCTTTGATAGGCTTGTGTATTTTTCTTTTGTCTATAGATATTTTTCTAACCAGATCCTGAGTGGAATTGAACCAAGTTTATATAAGGAAACCTCTATTAAGAAGGAGTGGTATAATTGATAAGAATTACAACCTGCTTAGAATGGTTTATAATAACCACCAGCAGGGGGTCAGCAGGTGGCATGGTGGTTAAGATGTTATCCTCCCACGTGGTCGACCATGGTTCAAGTCCCAAACCTAGTGGCTTGCCTTCTCATTTTCCCTCTCTTTCTCCCTCTCTGGGGGAAAAAATAATAATAATAGTAATAAATGATAAATAAAGCTAAATAAATAATTCTTTTTAAAAAAAAAAAAAGCAGCTTATAGTACTGCAACCCGTTAACAACTCCTGTCATACTAACCATCCTCTTCCACTGCAAAGTCCCACGTACACGCAGGTGCCTCTGATAAACCAAAGGTGTTCCTTCCATTGTGATGGCATTTTAGCCCTAAGTCCACCAATCTGTGTTTATTGTCAAGAACAGATCAAACGTGAGGGAGTCAAAAAATACAAAATGTGTATGCATGTGAATTCGAGAGTGCAAACATGAATTTGGAGTTTTTAATTCATAGATTTTTGCCTACCCAGTATTCCACTCATCACACCAATACACAAAAACAAAACCCTTAGGACATTCTACCCTAACAGTTCCGTTTGTACAGGCATTCCATGTATTTACTTTTTTGATACACTAAAAATGATAGTTTTATATACAAGCTAAGTTATATTTTAAATTTGTTTTTAGACTACAAATAATTTTGTTTGAAAATAACTATTTCATTTCCTTAAATTTTTTAACTTTCCTACCTTATTTCCTTTTGATATGATTGGTGTATTTGGTTTATGACTCACATATTTGCCTTGAGGATTAAGTTGCCCACAATTCAGTCTGTTCCTGGGCCATTCCATTCACACGGTAGTGTCCCTACTTGTTGGAGTGGCTTGTCTGGTGTTTTTCCACTGACCTCCATTTTTCTCACTATGCCACATCATGCCAGTGTGTGTGCACATGTGTTGTCTGTCTGTCTTAGCCTGTTATCAAATGTACTGTGATTCCTTTCCAGATGCAAATATGGGATAGTTATTGAAAAGTGTTCTTCCTTCTTCTCTTTCCCCACTAGTAAGATAACAGAGTTCATTTTGTACAATTGGTATAAGTGACCTTTAATATGTCAATTCAACCTCTAAAGACAAATAGGTCTTTCCTCTCATCCTGGGTGTTCGGTGTTGGGGGGCTTTGTAAAAGAGAACTTGGGCTGCTCTGAATAAGAAAATGCTCTGCCTTGGGAGGGTTGCCAGTGGGCTCCCGTGGCTGCCTGAGTATGGACATAGCAGATGCATGGTGGTAGCATTGCTGCGGGGTGCCATCGCAGCTCATGTGCCTTCCCTCTTCCATTCTAGTACAATGCGGACAAGGCCATCGTGGACAGCGGCACCACACTGCTGCGCCTACCCCAGAAGGTGTTTGATGCAGTGGTTGAAGCTGTGGCACGCACGTCTCTGGTAAGTCCTCAGCGTGCTCATGAATCTTTGAGATTACAGGTTAGGATTGGGTCGGATCACATGCTGAGGAACAGCACTCCAAATTCTCATAGTCTGTACACACTGGAGGTTCTGAAGGATAGTGTTTTGTGTTGTCGCTGTTGTTTTTTAAGAGATTTTGGCTATAGGGCACATGTGCTCACTGGAAAGACAGAAAGCGAGAAATCACTCCCGGGGGGATGGCCATGTTGCAATCCCCTCTCCTCCACTCTTCTCTCAGTATTTTGGGCATACGCACACATGTGCCCAGGATGAGTTTCAAACCACGGTCGGCCATGTGGGAGTCCAGTGACAAAACTATTATGCCATCTGCTAGTCCCCTGAAGGGTAATTTTTTAATAATTATTATCCATTGAGGTCACAATCTTATTCTTGGGTGTTAAGCAGCAACAGGTGCCTTTAGTTTAACATCAAAGGGCTTGGATTTGAATATACAGTGCTCTTTAGTGTTTCATGTAATAGTTCAGTTGATGTAGTATTTTTGTTTATCTCTGAAATAAAATACTCTGTAATATAACCATATGAAAGTAAGAAATAAATCGAGATTGCTTTTATGGTCTTTAAAACAAATGAACAAAAATCTTATTCCTGGGCCAGAAGGTAATGTGACTCCCACATGACCAGGTGCACGGTTCAAGTTCTGGACCTGGCAGCTTGAAAATCACACCAAGTGCATGTGCATCCGGGCCCAGAATCCCAAGAGGAGACTGGAGAAGGGATTGTGACATGGCCATCTCCAACACCCCACTGGAGGGGGTGATTTCTCACTTTCCTCTCTCTCTGGTGAACACATATACCCTATAACAACAACGAAATCCATTTTGGCCTTCATCTAGCGTTTCCTTCTGTAAGATACTGTGTTGTTTTCCCACAGGAGACAAAGGTTAACCAGCCAGTCTAATAATGATTTTATGACTATCTTCTGAAATGCACTTAAAATCATGGCTGAGGAAATCATGTCTTTTGGGGACCTGGCTGATGGTATTCCCAGTGTGACCCAGCTTCCCAGTGAGTTCAGGGCAACAGGATAGAACAAAAGCATTAGCTGAAACACAGATTTAGGGTTAAATGGAGTCCCCTGTAGTCTAGCTCCTGCTATGTGATGGTGGTAGTTATGGTTCCACATTAAGAAATGGCGCAGTGGGCAGTGGAGAATGACCAGCACTGAGAGGGAGGGTTTTGAGCCCTCTGACAGCCTTTGTGTGGTCGTCTGGAGGGTTGTGAGAGTTTGGAGTAAAATGCCTGATGTAAAGTATCCACTCGGTAAAAAGGAACCTCCATGAGTGTCCAGCCGCAGTGCTACCTTACTTGTTTAGGTGGGAGATAACCATTACTTTCAGCTTCGTGAGTGTTTCTGTAGCATCTGTCTATTCAAAGCCATCCTTGCAAGATCACCCCAAATGAGTGCTTCCTGCATAAACCTTCGCTCTGGTCCTAGAATGAGGCTGATTGTCTTACTACCCTTGTGATGACCAAATTCAAGGAATAACTGTGGAGTGGCTGCAGGCTACAGCAGAAATGTGAGAAGCAGGAGATGGCATTTGCTGGTCCTGGACCAGAACTCCAAGCCCTAAAGCACCGGTGGAACAAACAGCTGGAAGACCACAGAACACCGAGGACAAGGAATAAGAGAGGGTGCGAGCACTGTTGGGCTGACAGGTGCTCTGGGCAGCTTAGAAACCAGATATGTGCTCTAATATGGCCAAATCTGAAAAGCATGGCAGGTAAATTTTCAGCAATTTATTCCTTGAATATTTGTTGAAAATCAGACTCCACTGAAGCTAGGGAACAATCTGCTGGTTTCATGAATAGTTCAATACCCTCAGCAGAATTTACCTGAGTATCTTCAAGTTTAGGATTCTGAACTGTGCCCATCTCACATCTGGCCTAGGATTGTTTGAAGCAACGAGAAGGTGGCGGGCCAGGCCGGGGCCAGGGCCGCTGGCCACTGTTCCCCAGTTCCTTGCAGCATGTGCAGCGGCTGACTTTGTAAGAAAAGCACGAGGTAGAAGGAACAAGATGACGAAATCTGTTTGCCTCGCTAAAATTATCCTCTGATTGCAGTGAGTGACGTGTCAGGAAGGAGGAACGCGAGAAGCCTGTTTGTCTTGGGCAGGGAAAGCACACAAGGCAGCATTGTGTCTGCCGGACTGTACGGAGGGGCCAAAGACATGTTTGTTCTTCTTATCTGTTAGGTTCACAGAAGTGGCTTTCTTGGCTTGGGTTTTCCTTTTTTTCTTCTTTTCTCCTTCTTTTTTATCACAGGGTCCAGCTGTCTTGACCCTCCTGCTTCAGCCTCTCAGCTGAAATGGCAGGTGTGCATCACCACACTGGCTGCTCCTCTCACAGGCTCTCACTTGTTGCCTTGGCCAGCCTCAAGCTCACCATCCTCCTGCCCAGCCTTCCGAGTCCCTCTGGTTACAGGAATTCTCCACCGTAATCAGCTTTAGGTTGGACTAGGAATTGAATTCATGCCCCTATGTGGTCTTAGCCTTCAGAGCAGAACATCTTAACAGTGGGAGCCACTGTGACTGGGCTGTATTTTCTTTCTATTAAGAAGAGGCCTGGCTTGAAAGAGTTAAAAAATGTCATGCTTTATATTCTGCAGCGAGTTGCTCAGAGAAGATTTTGGGAATAGTTGTGGTTCTCCATTAAAAAATGAGCCAATGGGCCGTGTAGCATAACCCAGTATTCAGAGCCAGGGAAAGCTGGGCTCCAGCCAGCCTCTTGTAGCACCCGAGTGTGGTGGGCCCAGTGCTTATCCAAATACTATCAAACCCAGACACAGATGACACCTATGTTAAGATGACTTTTAACTTTAGGATCCTGCAACCTAAGGGTTGAAAGTAGACCCCAAGGCCATGTGGCTAGACCTTCAGGGGGTCTTCAGACTCCTGGCCAGGAGACTTGCATGGTGGGCATAACTTGCAAATGAGATTCTTTTTATTTATTTATTTGTTTGTTTGTTTACTTGTTTGTTTATTTATTTATCAGTTGCTGGAGGATGTTTGTACTCACCAGAATGAAAGAGAGTTGGGGCGCTGGGGGCACGAGGGAAGCATTCCCCCAATGGGACATGTTCACACCACAGTCCCTTCTCCATTTCATCATCCTGTCAGGATTTGGGGCACACACATGCTTCTGGCATGTTTTTCAGGCTGCCAGGGCTGGGATTCAAACTGCATTCGACCATGTGACATCATGTTCCCTTAACCACTAGGCTACAGGGCGCCCTTAGTGTGTTGGATTCTGAGCTGAGCCCTTTTGGCTGCTTTCTGAGTGAATGGGAGCTGGGTGTGGTGCTCTCTTGAGCTCCACCCCACCACAGGCCCAGCCAACATTAATTTTTCATGGAATCAAGCAAAATAAGTTTCCTCACCTCTTATCAACTTGTCAAGGAGGGGGTTATAATACACATTTCAAATCAACTTAACTGTTTTAAAAAGTGGGAACCAACAGTTAGCGTAATGGATATGTTGCTGGACTCCCACGTAGTCGACCGTGGTTTGCGTCCCAGACCCGGTGGCTTAAAACTCACTCCAGGCGTGTGTGCATGCGTGCCCAAGATCCCGAGAGGAGAATGGAGGAGAAGGGATTGCAGTGTGACCATCCCCCCTGGGGAGTGATTTCTCGCTTTCTGTCTCTATGCCTCTCTCTGTCTGTCTGGTGAGCGCACGCGCCCTATAGCAAAAATCTCTCCAAAAAAAAGCAAAAACTGGGATCTACAGATGGCGTAATGGCTATGTCGCTGGACTCCCATGTAGTCAACTGCAGTTCGATCCCTGAACCCGATGGCTTAAACTCACGCCAGGTGCATGTGTGTGCGTGCCCAAGATCCCAAGAGGAGAATGGAGGAGAAGGGATTGCAATGTGGCCATATCCCCTGGAGGGTGATTTCTCGCTTTCTGCCTCTGTGTCTCTCTCTGTCTTTCTGGCAAGTGCACGTACCCTACAGCAAAATCCTCTTCAAAAAAAAGCAAAAACATAACAGTGCCAGCATTATCCATTTTACTGACCAACCATGAGCAATTGGGCAAGAAATGTGTGATACACAGACCACCGGGTGCTTTCTCCACAGTGTGTTCCTGGGGGAGGGTGGCACCTGCCATGCTGTGGCTGAGTGGCTCATGCCCATGTGGACAGCACAGGTTCACACAACGGTGCCCATTCTGTTCTGTTTTCTGTCCTTCCTGGTCATTTTCTTGGCTTCTAAAATGCCTCCTCCTCCAGCCCTGGACTTGCTCTGTCCTGTGCCCCTTGTCCTGGGCTCTCTTTTGCTGGCCTCTTTCTCAAGCTGGGTGCTAGGCTCCTCCACTCTCCTGCAGCATCCCATCCACGGCCACATCATCACCTCCCACTCACCTCTCAGTCAGTCTCTCCGCCCAGGCCTATACCCCGGAGCCCAGAGCCCTCTGAAGATGACTGAGTGATACAATATGTGTGCTTGGACATCTAAATCATGTCTGATGTGCTCAGAGCCCAGACCTGTGGTATATGAGGTTCAGCCACGTCACTCCATCATGAAGGTGCCCCAAGTCCCTTCCTGCCCTAAACACTAGCTTCCATGGCTGGTATCAATGTCCATTGGGCATCCCAGCATCCTTTACCTTCCCAGAACCCTTTGCTCCCCTGTGGTAGCTCCTGCTTCTCCCAGTCATAGTCTCTCTTAACCCTGCCTGGCAGGACACCATGCTGGGTGCTACAAGGGACCCATCAGCCTCTGTCCTGCCCCTGAGCGACAGCCAGCAGACACAGGGCACACTGAGCTTTTGCTGAGGGGCCTGAGGCTCACGCAGGTGTAATTCACTTGCAGATGTAGTGGCTACTGACTCCACCCTTCCAGTCCCCTGCAGACACACAGGGGGACATGCTGTGTTGTTGGCTGCCTTTATGTCCTGAATGCCATTCATTTTTTTCCACATATATTTCCCGAATATCTTCTGTGTGCTAAATGTTGGGACTACAGTGAAAACACAACAGACTCATCCTTAGAGGACTGAGATTCTAGTGCAGGAAACAGAAGGTAATCAGTAAGTGTAAATTTGTTAACTACCACAAAGAGACCAAGGAGAGCTGCATGGTGGCATCCTTGTGTTATGTGGAAGGATCCAGGAGGACTTCATGGATGAGCTGGCATCTGAGCTAAGATATGGAGGAGGAGAAAGCATTTTCAAAAGAACAAATAGCTCACACTTGATCTACACTGGGAGGCCACCCACTGGACTCCTGGGCTTCAGAGGGCAGATGATGCTTGAAAGGGCCTTGAGGCCACATTTAGGATTCTGTCTTCTAAAGGGCCCTTCTCACTGCTCTATAGCTGTGGGCAAATGACTTCATCTCTCTGTGCTTTTGTCTCCTCAACTGTAAAGTGGAGGAGGTGCTGTCACCACACTGGTGGGGATGTTTAAGGATGAAAGTAATTATTGCTGCAAAGTGCTTTTACCTGTGCCTGACGCTAATAAGTGTTCCACGTGCCTTTATGATTTTAATAATTATTTTGTCACCACCATCTCTCCCAGAAGACTGATGTTCCTGCTGTTCTGTCCAAATTAAACATTGTTTATCCCTATGGGCATCTGGCGAGGTGACTGTGAGCGCCCCGAGCTATTTCCTGTTGACGTGCCAGACGAGTCATTGTTTCTCATGGAATCCTGTTTTGTCTAGATTCCAGAATTCTCTGACGGCTTCTGGACCGGATCCCAGTTGGCATGCTGGACGAATTCTGAAACCCCTTGGTCTTACTTCCCTAAAATCTCCATCTACTTGCGAGATGAGAACTCCAGTAGATCATTCCGTATCACTATCCTGCCTCAGGTATGAACTTGAATTTGTGCTTTTCCTTTTCAACATGAGGCATGCAAAAGTAAAAACACTTTATGTATGACACATGTATTATACTTCACAGCTATCTACTGCCACAATAATGCTGCGTAACAGGCAGATGCAGGTATCACTACCCGTGGGTCTAGGCAGGCGTGCGCATCTCCACCAGGCTTGCTCATGGGTCTCTTGTCAGCTGGAGCTCAACTAGAACTTGGTTGGCCTCAGTGTAGGCCAATGCAGGATGGCGTTACTCATGTGTCTAGCAGTCAGATGGGTGGAGGGATAAGGCCACATATTCCTCCTCACCCAGTGGGGCCTCTCACGTGAGGGCAAGATTCTGACAGAGAGGGAACCACACAGGTGCTCCTGAGATCTCAACCCAGAACAAGCCACCATCATCTCCATGGTGCTGCCCAAATAGGTCCAAGACTAGCCCAGGTTCCTGGGGTAGGAACGAATATTCTACCTCTCAGTCACAGGAGCTATAGAGCCACATTGCAAAGGATGAAGAACTGGGGATTTTTTTTTTTTTTTTGAGAGATTTTTGCTATAGGACACGTGCGCTCGCCAGACAGAGAGATAGAAAGCGAGAAATCACCCCCCGGGGGGATGGCCACGCCACAATCACTTCTCCTTCATTCTCCTCTTGGGATCTTGGGCACGCACGCACACGCACCCGGCATGAGTTTTAAGCCACTGGGTCCGGGACTCGAACCACAGTCAACTACATGGGAATCCAGTGACACAGCCATTATGCCAACTGCTGGTCCCAAACTGGGAATGTTTTTATAATGCCTGCCACAATACCATTCCAAGCAGAGTATCACTGATTCAAAATACTTGAAGCCAAAAAGTATTAAGATTTCAGATATTTTTTTGAATTTTGGAATATTTGCATATACCTAAGGAAATATCTTAGAAATGGAACCCGTGTTTAAGTATTCATTTATGTTTTATGTATGCCTTATACACATAAGCTGAAGGTGATTTTATTTAGTAATTTTAATAGTTTTGTTCACGAAACCCTTTGTGGTTATGGGCTTGCTTGTGTGCTGGCTTGTGTGGGGGAATCAGGGCGTGCATGCACAGCCAGAGGGACGAGGAGAGCTTTTCCCTTGAGGATGCCGAGTGAACTGTGTGCTGTGTTTACATTTTGATTGTGACCCACCATGTGCGGTTGGGTGTAGAATTTTTCACTTGTGCCTCATGCCCGTGCTCACAACATTGTGAATTTTGGAGCATTTTGCATTTCCAATCTCCGGATTAGGAATGCTTAAACTGTTTATACTTTTTCCCTCAATTTATGTAAATGGGGGAGGGTGAGAGGGAAGGAATCAAGGGGGAAAAGAAAGAAGGAAAATGTTTAAGGAACACAAAGATGGAAAATGATCTGTTGATGATAATATGTATGGTAATATCTTTGAACCAATATGCAGTGTATTCAGAATGGGAAATTCATTTGGTATGTTGTAATGATACACAGTGATTGAATGTAAAAATAAAAGAAAGAGAATGAACCTGGATTGTCAGGGGTGAAGCCCTCACTCTTATTTTCTGAAAATCCCTGTGACCACCCACCCCTTCCTCATCTGAAGTGACTAAGGAAACAGACGAGGTTCTACTTGCCTTAGCCACTTTTCTCATTCTCCCTTCAGTCTGTCCTGGAGTGCGTGTCTGTGTCGGGCTCCACCAGCACCTCAGTAACTAACCTCCAGGTTAACTAACCCGCATCACAGATCCCCACTCTCTCTTCTTTCAAAAAATTCCCAGGTGAGTCTTCTGAAGTCACAGCGTTCCTCTTCCCACGTCAGGTACTGTGCGGAATCAGTGAGTCCTGTGGGTTCAGTGCGGCAGCTCATTCTTGGTGTAGCTTTCCGTGGTCCCCACCAGACCCACCTGGCTCTTGAACCTGTTCATGGCCCCATGTGGGCCTTCTCTTTGGTGATCCCTGTCCTCTGGCGCACCCTGCTGCTCCGTCTCCTTAACATTCATTTGACTAACCCCTGCGTAGAATGCCTTCCCTTCTTTACTCACATCCATATCTCCAAATTCTTCCATCCTTATCTCCAAATTTTCCCCGTCCTTTGAAAGCCAACTCAAACAACCCCCTCTTTGTTGAAACTTTGCTGAGCAGAATAACCCACTTGTGAGCCTGCCCTTCAAACTCACAATGCATGTTTTCTAATCTACCCATCTGGCACAAAATCACAGCTTTGGGATATATTGTATACTGTTTTTTTTTTTTTTTCTTTTGGACTTTTGGATTTTTTTCTCCTTGTTTAAATTTCCAGAGGGCACATGTGCTCACTAGAGAGAGCAAAAAGGAGAGGGGTGGGGGAGAGAGAGTGAAGGCACTCCCCCTGCAATGGGGTCTGGCTACACTGTAGTCCCTTCTCCATGTCTCCATCCTATCGGGATTTAGGGCACACACACCTAGCATGTTTTTCAAGCTGCTGGGGCTGGGACTTGAACCATAGTTGGACATCTACTTATCAATGTGTAGTGCTTAGCTACTATACTACAGGGCTGGCCCTCTGTTTTCTTTTAAAATAACAGTAACTACATATATTCTTCCTTCAGTTAGTTAATAATGTTTGAGTTTTAACAGTCATCCTTCCTTCCCTAACACTTGCAGGCAGTAGAAAGAAAGTGTGTAGTAACTGTTAAATGGGCGCATCAATGCGTCTTTGTTGTAATTGATGAATTTGAAATAAAAGACTTGGGTGTGGGGGATAGGGAAGGAGGAATAATGTTACAAGGGAAAAGTAAATGTTAATTCTGCCTTTTCCCCATTTTTAACTTTTGGGATAGTGTTGGGATATATGCTCCAGAAATTCAGTCATCTTTGAGAAAGGCTCAAAAGCTTTAAGAGAACAATACAGCCCATACAGCCCAACAGAGGACACCAACACTGGACTTGAGAGGCTTGGGTTATAGTCTCGGGACTGCCCTTGACTTACACTGTAACTTCGAGCAAGTCACTTAGCCCTTCCTGTGTCTGTCTCCTTAACTGTAAGGAGAAATAATAGTACTTTTCTTGCTGGAGACATTTAGAGGGAGTGCAGTATCCTTGGCTAAATGGCACTCCTCAGAGTAATGGTAGAATGATATGTTTTCAGCATCTATAAAATAATGTGCTCTTTATGATCAAATTTCAGTCAGTCAAATAACAAAATATGAGCATCATTTCATCAATGTGGGCTGTAACTAATGTCAAAGCCCACATCGAGGACAACAGTGAGCATCTGCTGGGAACTAAATGTTGGGTGACATAGCTAGGGACTCATAGGGGGAGAGGAGGACAAAGCAGGTGTTGGGGGACATCTCTGACGGCTGTACAAGCCCTGAGAGCTGCAGGCTTCAGTGGCTTTTAGGAGCATCACTGGGGAAATATAATGAAGTTTAGGAGCATTTGTTTCATTTGCATATTTCTGCATAAGGCTTTATTATTACTTTAACTTATGAGACAGTGGATTTTTTTTTTTTTTGGTTGACTTTGACACATTCACATGTTTAATTTTTTAAAAAGTTGTTCATTTTTGGGGCCAGCAGATGGCATGGTGGCTAGGGTGCTGGACATGACAGACTGCAGTTCAAATCCCCAACCTGGCAGCTGGAAAATCATGCCAGGCACGTGGCATGTGTGTCCAGAATCTCAAGCGGAAAATTGAGGAGAAGGGATTATGGTATGGCCATCCCCAAGGGGGGCGGGGGTGATTTCTCACTTTTGCTCTTTCTCTGTCACTCTGGCAAGCACTGAGATAGCACCCCCAACAGGGTCTTGATGCCCCCTCAGCCAGTCCTGGATCAGGAGCATGTGCATGCTTACATACTCAGGAAGGTCTCTGGATGTGAACCCAGAACCTTCGCTTGTGGGTCATTCTCAGTGTCACATTTTACCACTGCACCACCATCTGGCTCCCACATTTGATTTTTAAAAGTAACCTGCCCTGCTGTTCTGATTTCTCACCTAGCGTTGCTATTCTGTTTGCTTTCTGTTGCCTTGTTGGAAGGGGCCTTGAAAAGGAAGCTGGGAGACCAGCTGGTAAGAAGCCCTATGCTCCACAGGCTGTGCCTGGCAGGGCAGTACAGGGAAGTCACTTCTATCAGGACATCTCGGCCAGCCCTCTGTCGAGGGCTCCTGCTGCTAGTTGTAGGATGGGGCCCCCACCTGGGACTTTCCAGGCATCCACAATAATAATCATAGATGAGCACATGATCTTGAGTACAGAAGCGTCAAGTCAAAGGCAATTATCTTAACTTTTATCTTTCTTCAAAAACACATGGGCTGAATCTTCTCTGGCCTGTTGAAAAAGCAGTCCCCCGCCCAGCTGCAGTGGTGCAGGAGGAAACTGCTGCACAGGTTGAATGCCAGCTCGACCTGAACACACAGAGTATACTCAGTGTGTTCATGTTCCTGACCAGCTGGAAGCCTGAGCAGTGAGGACTCTCAGCTTGATGAGACCCTGGCAGGTGTGCCCCACCTCTCCAAATAAATGAGTAAACTTTAAAAAAAAAGAAAAAAGAAAAAAGAGAGAGCTGCTAGATTTCCCTGTGTGTTCTGGTTATCAGTCCTTTATCTGATGCATAGTTTACAAAAAATATTTTCCCATTTGGAGGGCTGTTGATTCACACTGATTTACACTGTCCTTGAAAGTGCAGAAACTTCTTAATCTGATGTAATCCCACTTGTCTATTTTTGGGATTGTTGATTGTGCTTTGGGGCTCTTATTTAAGAGTCTTTGCCTACCCCAGTGTCTCTCAGAGTTTCTCAAGTGTTTTCCAGCAGTAATTTTACAGTTTGAGGTCTTGGGTTTAGATCTTTGATCCACTTTGAGTTGATTTTTGTCTGAGCATGCCTGTGGCATCCTCACTTTTGTGATGAGGCCCGATTCACACTTCCTCTTGTTCATTTTCTCTCTCTCACATGCAGCTGTACATCCAGCCCATGATGGGGGCTGGCCTGAATTACGAATGTTATCGATTTGGCATCTCCCCTTCCACGAACGCACTGGTGATCGGTGCTACAGTGATGGAGGGCTTCTACGTCATCTTTGACAGAGCACGGAAGAGAGTTGGCTTCGCAGCAAGTCCTTGTGCAGGTGAGCGCATTAGGGGCCAAGAAGAGGGCGTGTGTAAGTTTACTCACTTGGAAGGTATTCTTGATGACAGGTCAGTTGCTGTTAAATTATTTCACTCGCACTCGTCATCATTGACCAAAACCTTGTCGGTAAAATGGGTCATGGGGATGCTGAGAAGATTGAAATAATTCACATAAAACAGTGTGGCACCTGGCAAATGTTGGATAATTGTTACTCAATGCAGTTCTCTCTTGAATTAAACAGAAAACGGTATCACACACCAGGAATAAAAATATGCTGTGGGGCCTTGGAATTGAATTACAGTTTTTTTTTATGGTAAAGGCAAAATGAATAAAAGAAAAATAATATATAAATTGTATAATTTCTTTTTCCTCAAAGCAGTCCTCATTATGAAATAGGAAGTAAATGTATATCATTGCTGTTTCTTGAGATCCTAAATAATGAGACCACAGAGCCCATTTTCCTTGAATAGTTCCTCCCGAGAATGATGTGAGGTTGCCCTGGTGGCATTTCTCAACACAGCTGAGCTTGAGGATTGGGAGGGCTTCAGAAACCAGGAGAGATTTACCAACCAACTGGATGCATGTGGCTTGATGGGAGGATTAGGTACTTTTGACCACAGCCAAAGCTGGCTAGGAAGGAGCAGATAATAGAAGTCACCAGAGACTGGATTGCTGGGGATGCGGAGGGAGAGTCTGTGCCAGGGAAGTGCTGGAGAGTCGCAGCCTTTCAAAGTAGCATCTCCAAGGTCTGAAAAAATATTGGTAAACTGGATGTGGAATCAGGCACAGAATGAAACCCCAAAGTGTTACTGGTCATTTCTAAGGGAGAGAAAAATTATGCTAATGTGAAGTCCAAAAGGAACTATGACAGGGAGGTGAATGGAGCAAAATGGGGGTGGGAGGTCAGTGAAACACTAGACACTATGGAGTTGAAGGCAAGCAAGCAGTAACTTGATGGGAAGAAAGCCTTCAACATTAGGGATGGTTGTAGGACAGGTGGGAGTGCTAGACTGGCCATTCTGAGAGCCCCAACCCAGAATTATCACTGATCGCAAACCAACTGAGAAGTATGGGGGAGAGTCACAGAGATGAGGGGTGCAGCAAATGCTAGAAGACCACAGCTGAGTTATTTGTGGAAAGAAGATTTCAGTTGGTATTTTAATAATTATTTTATTTTAACTTTACTTATTATTATTGTTACTTTCCAGTTTGATCAGACAGACAGAGAGAGGGAAAGTGAGAAAGCAAGCCACCAGATTCAGGACTTGAACAATGATCGGCCATGTGGGAGTCCAGAGCCTTAACCACCACTCCACCTGCCGGCCTCAGTTGGTATTTTTTCAAAGAGATTTTTACTATAGTGCACACACACTTGCCGGAGACACAGAGAGAGACAGATAGAAAGCAAGAACTTACCCCTCAGAGGGGATGGCTATACCAAAGTCCTTTCTCTTCCATTCTCCTTTTAGAATTTTGAGCATACAAGCACATGGGCCCGGTGTGAGTTTTAATCTGTCGGGTCTGGGACTTGAGCCATGGTTGACTACATGGGAGTACAGTGATGTAACCGTTATGCTATCTGCTGGTCCCTCAGTTGGTATTTATTTATTTATTTATTTATTTATTTATTGGAGAGGTTTTTGTTAGAGGGTACATGCACTTGCCAGAGAGACAGAGAGATAGAAAGTGAGAAATCACCCCCCTGGAGGGATGGCCAGGCTGCAATCCCTTCTCCTCCATTCTCCTCTCGGGATCTTGGGCATGCACGCACATGCGCCCGGCGTGAGCTTTAGTCACTGAATCTGGGACTTGAACCATAGTCGACTACATGGAAGTCCAGCAACATAGCCATTACGCCAATTGCTGGTCCCACCCTCAGTTGGTATTTTTAAAACTATTTTAAGTATGTTTAGCATGGTCTTGAAACTGGAAGCCTGGAAATTAAACAGGGAAGTTAATACTACCTATTCTTGTCTTAATACACCGGCATTTCTGAAAAGTAAAGTGACAGTTTGGAGAAGAGAAATATTAAAAGAAAAAAACTGTATCTGGAATGTCAGGCCAATTTATATTCTATATAAATGAAAATACCCAACCTAGTGTACACATTTATTTTCTTACTTTTTTAAAGTTTATTTATTTCTCCGATGAACAAGAGACAGAGAGAAAGACACCACTCCAACAGGATCTTGACAGTGTGCCCCACAGCTGGTTTTAGCCAGCCCTGAATTGTGGGCAGACACATGCCCAGTGTACCCAGAGAAGTCCGAGACACAAACCTGAAAGCTTCTCATATGGGATTACTCCTCAGAGCATCCCATTTACTGCTGTAGCACTCTCGGGCCCCTGACAGAGTTGCTTAAATATCGGTGCAAATTGATTTGACTTTGGACTAGTGGGCAGACTCGGAGTCATTAAAACTTGCCGTGTTTTTAATGGCTGCCATAAGTAAATGTCTACCTTTTGAATGTGTGTTATTAACTCCTTCCGCTTGTCAGGTCATCGAGTGAGAACTTTCACATACTGGAACGTGGGAGTGGGAATGTACAGTTTGAAACAGCACTGTATTTCTCAACTGTGAATATTTTACTATGTTTTAACGGAGGGAATCTAAGAACTAAAGCAATTTTGCTCACAATTTCTGTTCTCTTGTTAAATACCATTAAAGTAGAGGCTACTATGGCAACAGCTGTTATAACGTCCACTTTACTTAATATTGCAGTGAGTATAATAGCCGTAATGTTTTGTAAGTGAAATCCTGTTGGAAATGGTTTAATAGTAAGTGTCTCTAGGTAAGACATTTTTCCCCCTGCATTTCATCATATATTCTTTGTTAGGTGCTCTTATATAAATTATTTGTTGCTTTTTAAAAATGTATTTAAGGTTTTGATACTTAAACATTGGATTTTACCAGCTGTGGGAATACACACTGATATATGTCTCCTCTTCGGTGCAAATTGTTTAGCCATTAAAATAATTACCTTCCTCAGGGCAGCAATTAAAGGAGCCAGACAGTGCTCGATAGCACTATAATAAATGGAATAGATACCCTGCCTGCCTTTCTTTTTTTTTTTTTTTTTGAGAGGTTTTCGCTATAGGGCGCGTGCGCTCGCCAGACAGACAGAGAGAGACATAGAGACAGAAAGCGAGAAATCACCCCCCAGGTGGGATGGTCACGCCGCAATCCCTTCTCCTCCATTCTCCTCCCGGGATCTTGGGCACACACGCACACGCGCCCGGCGTGAGATTTAAGCCACCGGGTCCGAGACGCGAACCGCGGTCGACTACGTGGGAGTCCAGCGACATAGCCATTATGCTAACTGCTGGTTCCCTGCCTTTCTTTTTAGAAGTGTTTTTAACTTTTTAAAAATTTGTTCATTTCCTCTGTGAGGAAGAGAGACAGACAGAAAAAGCACCCTCACAGGGTCTTGACACCGTGATCCAGCCCAGCCTCAGCCAGGCCTCTACCATGGGCACGTACACGCCCTAAGAATGCAGAAAGATCTCTAGGCATGAACCTGGAAATACCCCATGTGGGTCATCCTTGCAGAGCATCGTGTTTTACTCTTGTGACTCCATCTGGCCCCCACAAAAGTGTTTATTTTCCATTATAAAATGTTTTAAGTAACAAATAAATGTTTTAGAGCCATCTCATAGCCCAGTGGTTAAGCTCTATAGAGTGCATATGGAGCTGGGTTCCCTGCCAACCGTGGTTTGAATCTCAGTCCCAGTGCTTTGAAAACATGCCCTACATGCATGTGTGTCCAACATCCTGACAGGATGGGGAACTGGAGGAAAAGGAACTGTGGTATGACCATGCCCCTTCGGGGGTCGCACTTACAGGTGCGTGCTTTCTCTTTCTCTTTAATGAGCATAGGTGCCCTCTGGCAATAAAATATTTTTAAATTAAAATAAAATGTTTTTAATGACCAAAAAATCATATACTATGGGCACTTATGGGACATTCAGATTTAATCAATGCTAACATTTTGTCACATTTTCTTCAGTTCACAAAAATAAAAACAAGATAATTGCAACCCTGCCTATCCCCAGAGTTACCCTTTGTCCTGAAATTGGAGTATATTCTTCTCATGATCACTATATTTGCAGTTTTACTAGTTAGGTGTAAGGACCTTGTGTCAGTTACCTACTGCTGTGTAACAACCTGCCCCACCTAGAATGTAGCAGAGCTTCATGGCTACCTACAGTGTCTGTGGCTGGGTCAGGAACAGAGGAGCAGCTCAGCTGGGTGGTGCTGACCTGGAGTCTCACATGAGGCTGCAGATCTCTGAAGGCTGCAGGAGCTTCTTACAAGCTCACTTTCATGGTAACTGGCAGGAGTCCCCATGCCTTTCTATGTGGACCTCATCCCAGAATTGCCTGAACGTCCTCAGAACAGGGCTCCAGGCCACCCCAGAGCAAGTGATCTGAGAGATTACAACTTGGCTCCCATGATAGGAACCACAGTATTTTTATAACCCAATCTTGGAAATGACCTGTCATCACTCAGCCCTTTTCTCTTGTCCACACAGCATCCCTAGTAGGATCTGGGTCAGGCTACTCAGGTTAAATACCAGGAAGCAGGGATCACTGGACTCATCTTAGAAGCTTTGTACTACATACTTAAAACATAGATGGATTGGTTTTTCTTTTTTTCTATTTTTAAACCAATGTGAGTGCTATTGTTCTTTTTTTTTTTTTTTTTTTTTTTGAGAGGTTTTCGCTATAGGGTACATGTGCTCAGCAGACAGAGAGAGAGACATAGAGACAGAAAGCGAGAAATCACCCCCCAGGGGGGATGGTCACACCGCAGTCCCTTCTCCTCCATTCTCCTCTCGGGATCTTGGGCACGCACGCACATGCGCCCGGCGTGAGTTTTAAGCCACCGGGTCCAGGACGCAAACCGCGGTCGACCACGTGGGAGTCCAGCAACATAGTTATAGTATTTTGTGTATCCTTTGTAAATGTAATTTTATTGCTTAATGTTACGTTTTCTAG